TAAATTTCACCATACTTCTCTGGTCTGGCTGTAGAGAGGTTTTAAAAAATTCATTGATCCTGGGGTCAGAATAATCTCAGGGGGTTCTGATAGATACTCACCCCACTTCTGAGAGTTTGAGATGCCAGCAGGAGCTTGATTATTTTTAAACTTCCCTCTCATGGGATCACTCCTCTGTAGTTATACTCTGATGGAAAAATATGGGGACTTATCATGGACTGGTGTTATTCGTTACCTTTAAAATAAAAGTAGGAAAAGCAGTTGCAGGCAGGGCTATTTTTGGGCAGGAACGCACAGGAACGGAGTTCCGGCTGGCTCCCATTGGCCACAACCAGCAGGAACTCATTAGCATAATAGGCCGCACCCAACAGCAGAAACTCATTAGAATTGGCTACATTAGGGGTGTGTGGCCTAACATGCAAAGGAGTTCCTGCTACAAAAAAAAACCCCTGGGTTTGACCACAAAAAAGGTAAACAGAATAAAGAAGCAAAAGGTGGGTGTGGCTGGATGACCACACTTCTGGTAACATAGGAATGCGGCTTAATATGCTAATGAGTGGTGCAGTCAGGGGTGTGGCCTAATATGCTAATGAGTTTCTGCTTCTGTGTGTGGCCTATTATGCTAATGAGTTCCTGCTGGACTTTTTCTACAAAAAAAGCCCTGGATGCAGGTGATTGTGGAATGAGCAGATGATTAGTGGTGATGGTAGAGGAGGAAGACTGCTTAACCCTCCATACCATTTATTCTTTTAATATTGGCATTCTTTAAGTTCTTTTTCTTCCTGAGTTCTGCTGTGGCTGTGGCTGTTCCCTCATTACTGAGGGAAAGGGCATTCTGTGCATGAGTGGAAGGGAAGTAGTTGCAAAGTATTTTACAGAACATATTTTTATGCACTTAAGTTCTATTCACCATTACAGGCAGAAAGAGTAAGTCTGCATTCCCTATGAGTTTTATTTATGTACTACATTCCACTTTTCTCCTTATTGGGGACCTAAAGCAACTTACAATACAAAAAACACAACAGGCACAAATAAGATAATAGTGAAGCGCTGGTCTCTTTCCCACCTTCAGTTCTCTTCAGTTCCTGGGCATGTGGTGCTCAATTAGGATAAAGATAGTGGTGCACATAAAGAAGGAGCTTATTAGGATATCAGTTATTTTATATAGCTGTGCTATTTCTCTGATAATTAAAAGTGTCTTGTCATAACAGTTATTGTTTTATTCTTTTTAATATGCTGTTTTTAACTGATTTGTCATATTGTTTGGTGGATTTTATAAACAGCATTGAAGGCCACATACAATGCAGAGGGATGGTAGAAGTCTTCTGGATAATAATATAGTTGGCATAGAATTCACATCACCAATTTGGCCATTTTATGCTGCATTACCCCCCATATTCCATGCCTGAAGATTAACAACCCACCCAGAATGCTTCTGCTGTGACTCTGTTATATACACCATTTGGAATCACTGTTGCATGCAATAGAAAGTTCTCTGGTTATTGTCATGCAAAACTTTAGTGCTTGCAATCTATACTGATCTTCAACATAAATTTGCAATAGTTTAGCAGGTCAGGCACGGAGTGCTGTCAGAGCTTACACCAGTTGAGAATTTCAGGGAGTACATCCTAAAAATGTGGGAAAGTTCCTTGGAGGAGTGCCTAAAATTTGCTGCGGGAGAGCCACGAGTGGATGGTGGATTTTCCGGCCGCAATCACACCACAACATTTGGGAAGTGGAGTACACCCGTGGCTAACCCGTGGCATGCCACTGAAAATGTGCGTTATTTAGTGCACTGATAGTGATTTTTCTTGAAAGGCACAAACTGGCTAGTTATTCCCACTCTGAAAGAGTGACACAGGCTACCAGTTTGATCCAAACACATTTCAAAGTGCTGATTCTTACCTTTAAAATCCTCAATTGTCTTGGATTAGGGTATTTAAAAGACCACTCTCTCCCATATGAACCTGCCCATTAGTTATCATCTTCTTCAGGGACCCTGCTCTGTCTGCCTCTACCTTGAAGTGCAGTGGGTGGCCATTAGGCACTGACCCTTTTTCTTATGGCCCTCAGCTGCTTCCCCTGGCACCCTAGGAATGCCAGTCTCCAGGTGGGACCTGGGGATCCCCTGGAAATACAGCTCATCTCTACAGAGATCAGTTCCCCTAGAGAAAATGGCTGCTTTGGAAGGTGGACTCTATGGCATTGTACCCTACTGAGGTCCTTGTCATCCCAGGCTCCATCCCCAAATCTCCAGGAGTTTCCCAACCTGGATCTGGCAACTCTACACTCCCATCCCCCTTTGGAGGCCAGGGGAGACCTGGCAACCCAAACTGAGAACTTTTTAGTTTTTTCTCAGGCCTTTGGTTGATTTTTACTCTGTCTCGTCTAATTGTCCTCTGTTTTCTCCACTGTTCTAACTGTAGAGAGAAATCTTTAGACTTTTTATTGGGTCTTGCTGCTATAGACTTTTAATAGATCTCATTCCTTAAAATCCAGGTTGTTTATATTCGTTTACTGGTATATTGTCTTTTATGTATTTGTTTATTTGGAAAATATTGCTGTTTTCTCCATTTTATTGTTAATTGTATTCTATGTGTTATGGACATGCTTCGAAAACCTATGTGCTGAAAGTCTGTGGGATATATATTGTTGAAATGAAAACAAGTAAATTGTTTGAGGACTGTGAAGTACCAGTTCTCCATTCATTGAACACATTACAAAATCTAACCCAGTAACAGTGTTTGTAATCGGTTTGTACGTATTCTGGACATATCTAGACATAACAATAACCTACTTCCCTAAACATAAATATATGTGTAATGTTCACCCATAGTTTTTTACAAGTGCTGATCTCGTAGATTTCCCGCTAATGTTTTTAAGAGGCACAATATGTAAAGATCAGCTGTGCACAGAAAAATGTGAATGTTAGTATAAAAGTTGTTACAACAATTATTGACAGCATGCTGGGGGATCATACACATGGTATCAGGATAACAAAAAAATGTCAAAATTCTGCTACCATTTTCTACAGAAGGGTTGAACCGGAAGTGGCCTTCTGATTTCTCCAGTTTCTTCCAAACCACCTTCTGACCTAATTTGCACTCCAACAGACATAAAAAATTAAGTTTACTTCCTTGTATGATACATTTATTAGATGATAAACATTATACTGAAAGACAAGTACAAACCTTAGTCCTTTTGATAGGCACTGTGGTTGATGAATAGTAATATATTTTTCAGTGTACTGAGATTCCCAGCAGTTGCTGAATAAACACACTGGTTTCATTCTTTAGAGATTATAAATATCTCATATGTGTTCAGGTTCTTTCCAGCTTAGTACACTGTTTCATTTGAAGGATTTGCTTTCCTGAGTTGAACTTTCAGAACTCAGAACACCTTATCACACTTTCACAAGACCTTCTTTTTGAAAAATAAATTTAAAAGCTGCCTGTCAGGACTTGTGACTGTTAAGTCCAAGCTCTCAGGGGATTTGTTTTTCTTTTGGCGTCAGATTAGATGTTCAAATGAAGCTGTGTTTTGGAGCTGTTAGTGAATGTCTGTAGCACTCCTAATGAGGCTAATCCCATGGCAGCACATTCCAAGTAACTAATGGGCGCAAGTTCATTGCTTACTTTAACATCTCCTGGTTAAGAATGGAATGAATTACTTGTCTGGTGGGCGGTCATGAGTGTATTATTATTAGCAGAATGTCCAGCAGCAACAGAATGTTGACAACACAAATTGACCAGGGAGAACTTTAGAAAGACTGATATGTGGATGCTCAGGTAAAAAAAACCAACATTATTATTGCTGTAAACTTCATAACAAAATCTGTATTTCACAAATTTAAAATTGGTACAAATTCAACTAGATCTAAGAATGTGTGAAATAGATGTGATAACTATGTTTTCCTAATTGCTGCTGAAGCTATAATGAAGAGCAAAAATGCAATGCATCTTAAACTATTCTAATTCATGCAGCACATCATTATTCAGAATTTACAGACTTTTTATATCTAACATAAAAATATAATCTGTAAAATAAAATTCTCCAATCCTTTTTTGTTTTCATATTTTGATTCAGCAATGTGTAGCAAGTGTTTAATTAATATACATTAATTGTTTCAATTAATGCAAATTAATGTTGATATACTTTACTTTTGAATGGTCTTTAATTATATTGCTTGTTCAGCCCATAGAATGGTATAGTCCATGGAAATGAAAATTATTAGTTATGAAAATAAAAAAGCCACTGGCAAAGAGATTAGTTGTCCAGATTTTTAGAAGTGTTTTTGGTGCTTTAGTAAAAGAGAATGACACTTTTAACTTATTTTGAAGTTAAAGGTAAGACTGAAATGTAAAGACATTGTGTTTTAATAAATACACTTATTTTTATTTTATCTTATGGTTGAAATTAAGAACAGACCTGTGATACACTGTACATTACTTGGATGTCTTTATGTTGTGAACTGGCACAGAAAAAGAATAGCTAGCATTGGGATAACAATCGAAATAGAAATAGCCCTCCATCATTGCTGGAGATAAGCAGCAGTATTGTTAGCTGCGCCCCTGCTTGCAAGCTTCCCAAAGGCATCTGACTGGCCATTGCTATTTTTTTAAAAAAAAATGCTTTAAAATGATCTCATCCAGCAAGACATTTATTTTTTAAAAAAATAATAAGATACATACGTTATTTCATAAGTTTCATGTGTTCAAATCTAATGTTGTTAGTTCAATTACTGATTTCCCCCCTTCCTAAACAACATTTTAGGGACAGCTTTCCAATAATATTTAATGGACAAATCCTCCAAAGATTACATCCAATTATTTTGTTCATTTCCATAAGCATTTGTAACTACATTGCACAATGAAATTTTAGAAAACCCTGCCAATTAAGAGTTCCTTGTGGGTGTTTTTGTAAAAGAAAATTGTTCAGGCAGGAAAATCCCAGGAAATTCAGCATGCAAAGGCAATTTTATGCTTTTTAGGGGTGGGGGGAAATCAGCATTCTAGGCAACTAATATTAAGCTATACAAGGAAGCCACTAATCTCCATATGACAAGTATAGTTTCATATTCAATCACATTTTTAAAAAAGTTAAAAAAATAAACCTGTGTTTTTTCACAGGACAATATATATTCTTCCTAAGATAGAAAACTGCATTATCTTCTATGCAGTACTAACGTATGATGATTTGCCAATTACTCTTTATTCATTTATCAAACATTTTTAAAATTTGATTATTTGTACTGATTAACAGTTAAAAGAGACTCACCTCTGACAGCTAAGTGAAATAATTATTGTTTTTTCCTTGGGATTCACTATTTTATAGTATGATCTTATTGACTTGAAATATGTATTTCAGATAATATTTTAGAAACAGTAAAGATCCCCTTTTTTTGTCCATTAAGTATGCACACTTCTGTCCAGATGTATAACCACTATATGATCACACACGGCCTGTGCTGGCTGCTTCTTCACAGTGAATGAATGTTCTAACTTATTCAGCATGAGCAGAAGCTGAAGCTCTATATGCCACTAGATAAAACTGTAATACAGATCACACGGCTGCTTGTTTCATGGTCTGTTTACTTCAAGAAAAAGAAGCAATAAATACATAAACAAATCTCAGATGCCTATCAAATTATTGCTGCTTTTCAGCTGTAATCAATAATAATTTGATAATGATATAAGCAGATGCCTTGTATTTTCCTTACTCCACCACTGTTCTGTTGTTAGTATATCTAGAGTGCAATTGTGCATTTACAAGTAGCAACGGCTGCTTTTTTATTTTCAGTGTTTATTTCTTTTTTAAATATATTGAAGAAAAAGAAGATGCAGATTTTTAAAGGCCACAAGAATGTACAAGGTTAATAATCTTTGGGTCTCTAATGGAACTGCTAGTGACACAAATTTGTGTAATCTATTAGGCTAAAGCAAATCATTGCCAATCATGTGCAGTGTATGACTGCTCTGTATTTTGTCTTTTCCCTCAGTTCTCACTAAGAATGATAAGCAATCAGATTTGCATTACAGCACATACATGGCAGGTGCCTGAATTTGGCACTGTCACACAATCAACTTCCAGTACTGATTAGAATACATCACACAGAGAAGTTCTTGCTCGCTAATTGTTTAAGTGTGTAGAGTGTTGTTTATCAGCTGAGAAAACTTTACAAGAATATTCCACGCTTGCCAAACCTTCCCCACCCCAACCTAACCCACTTGCTTCTGTGGATGCTCTTGTCATTTAACATTCCTTCCTGCAGCTGCATTTCCTTTTCCCTTAAATTTTTAGCATGAATCATGTGGTTTTGTGTTTTTACATATTGCAGACTTGAACTCATGCTTCAAAATCTACTTAACAGGTTTAACAACAGCTCTCTGATAGCCTAAAGGGTTTGGTGGTCTTCTTGTGAAACAGTATAAAAAGAGAGGGCTTTCATAAACAGCAAAAGGGGGATATTTCCCCCTCACCATTTGGAGAGGTTGGATGCATAATCTAATCCCATTCATGTTCCTTTATTGACAATGTACATATTAATGCAGTATGCAATCTATCAAGCCTTGCATAAAATGCCAGGGATCCTAGTAGAGCAGAACAGTCTCTGAGCATGTCTGCTTCAGGGCATCCTGTGTTGAAATGCTTCTTGGTTCTTTAAAATTTATATTGCCCAGGAAAATTCTTTTGTGGATTAATTTTGTATTCTTTTTTCTTCCTCTTTCAGGCTCAGAAGTCATGGATAGAAAGAGCATTTTACAAACGGGAATGTGTTCATATCATACCCAGCACCAAAGACCCCCATAGGTAATTGCACTGTTTTTTTTCCACATTAAATTTGCTTTGCATATCAGATTTTGTTTAACCTGTTATAATACGTGGCACTATTACTATTTGTTTAACCTGTTATAGTATGCGACACTATTACTATTATTACACTGTCAGTTGTTCGTGTATGTTAAAGAGAAATGCAGTTCCCGTCTAACAATTTCATAGGTATCCAGTCTTTGATTCTGATATTCTTCTTTATGTAATGAAACAATTACAGGAGAATCCTAAGTGGGTCTATTTGGAAGTAAGAACCGATGAATAAAATACTACCAGGAAAGTGCTCTTAAGACTGCATCCTTATTGTATTACAAAAATACATCATAGCAGATATAATCCACACTAAAAAAAGTACAATATCTTTATTTCAAGATAAATGCATTCAAAAATATAGCCCTTGAAAACAAGTTTGGGAAATTTGGAATAATCTTCTCTGGTTTTTTGTTTCTGTTGAAAAAATAATATTTGATTTGCTTAAAATGTCACAAAAAGAGTTTTTTTAAGGTATTGTCAACCCATTGTGGCAAAAATATTTGCTGTGTCAATTTGGTTAGCATGTCAGCTCACATCTCACATTGCTGAAATCAATGTAGTAGAATCTTTTTATGTCTTCGTAAAGTAGACCCTGTTCCTGACAACTGTTCTGCACCTTGGGGTGGCTTTTGGAATGTTTCTTGTGGGTGCATACAAGTGATCATGTTTAATCAGAAAGATTTTAAAAAGCTACTATAGAAAAGGATTATTATTTCAAATTCTTTGGGAGTTAAAATACATGCAGTGGTGCTTAAACAAAATGTTTAAGTGCTACATACCAAAAGGAAAATTTTGTTGGCACTGGCACACAGCTGGGCTGGTAGGAGGCATCACAGTAACTAATTTCTGAAAATAAACAGTGCATAGCAAGGTAGAAACACAAAGGATGTCCAGAGTGACCAGATATCTGCATATTCACTTTAATATGTAGGGGACAAACCAGATGAGACTCTGGTGGTTCCATAATTAAATCATCCCAGAATTTTTTAAAGAGCAGTTGATGATATGCAGGGCTTCACTTCAGATTGGAGCTTCATGGAGAGGTCCCACCCTGGTGAATTTTGTCTTTTTAAATTTTATTTAAAGTGCTAATTATAGTGTGTGTAAGACAGTTTTTGATCCATGGGGGATCAGAAAGCTAAATCTCTCTCTCTCTCTGTCTGTCTGTCTACAACTCTGATCCAAATTGGGACAAGCATCTAAAATGGATCTTTAAAAGATGCAGGAGGATCTGTGATGTCTTTCTTACTTAGTTTAAATTTAAGAGGGAATGTTGGCAAGTTACCCTGCTGGAATGAGAAAAATTGCACCAACTAAAATTTTCCTTTAAAGAAAATATTAAAATTATTGTCATTCTGTGCACTTTTGCATCTTGAGCACAGACTATAACCTAATTATAATTCAGTCTATTTATTGACAAGCCAAATTATACTGGCTGTCAAGTTTTATGCTACAAACTTTGTAATGAGTTAAGAGAAATCTAACCTTGGCCCCGGTCACACGGGCAGGAAACTGCAGAGGAGAAGCGTGGCTGTTTGCTCTGGGGCAAACTACTGCGCAGTTACGTGATCAGACCTCCTGTGGAGGTACCGTGGAGGTTCCATGGAGGTTCCATGGCAAGGGAGAGGTGCCGATCACAGTTGAGCCACGGGAGTGCTACGCTTCCCAGATGTGCTGGTGAGATCGCGCCCGGAAACTCCGGCTGTCTTCCGTCTCACTTGTGTGGCTTCTGTTATGTGTGACCGCAGCCCTTGATAAGCTAAGAAGTAATTTTTGTTTAATGCCCCATAGGTGTTGCTGTGGACGCCTAATAGGTCAACATGTGGGACTTACGCCAAGTATCTCTGTTATTCAGAATGAGAAAAATGAAAGTCGGCTTACTCGAAATGACCTTCAGTCAGAGAAGTGGTCAATCAGCAAGCACACTCAACTCAGCCCAACTGATGCCTTTGGAACCATTGAGTTCCAAGGAGGAGGTCACTCAAATAAAGCCATGGTAATGACAAATCATGAACTGCTAAAATGTGCTTCTCACTTTCTGAAATGCTGTATGTATATGTTTGTTTTCTCTTTCCATTTCCATAAAATACATTTCCTGAATAATCCCTTGGAATGTTGAATGGAAGTCCATCTATCACATTCCAGATTTTGACCTTAACATTCCTTAACTGTAACATGGGGAGAGTCTTTATATAAATCCCATTAAGATATGCTGAGAACACAACAATAGTTTAGTCTCATGAATAAATATAAAACCTTTCCTTTTTGCTATTTAACAGAACAATCCCATCATATACAGGAACACATCAGTAACTAAAAATGAATGTTAAAGTTTGGCCAGAGTTTTACCATGTTCATTGCATAGACCAGATTCCAAATGCTTCAGAAAATATTCTGCTGTTTTGAATAAAAAGGTTTATGAGTTGCAAAAAAACTCTTTATAGGAATGAGCTAGAGTTCTGACAACTTAAAAGATCTTTATCAGAAATGGTGGAAATGTCACCTAATGGCATCTAAACATTTCAGATCCTATCAGGTTTTTAAAGCCAGTTTTGCAGGGTACAGTTTGTTTGTCTGTTTTTGCATCAACTTCACAACTTCCCCAGAAAATCCATATGTCATTTATGGAACAGTATGATTGTTTATCAGATGTTGCCTGATTCTTTCCAATAGGATTAATTCCAGCAGACACAATGAAACAATAGTGAATTTGTAAGTACAAGTAAAATTTCGGCCAAATGTTCAAGATTGTTCATATCATCTCCCTTCTTCTAAGGGAGGAACTACACATTATTTTAAAGAAAAAACAGGGAACTGCAACCAAAGTTGGCAGTCCTGTGTTGAGTCATCTTCTACTTTGGTATCATCATATGGTATGTTTTTCTACCTATTTATTTATTTTTCCATGGATTTATCCTTTATTTATCCTTGGATCCTTGGCCCTACCCCGAAGGCTCAATCAATATTATTGGCTGACAGTGGTGCTTTCCACATGGGACAGATGTATATGGTTTCTACATTGGTGCTGCAACTGCAGATATACTGCAGCTGCAATGGGACTTCCATGTGGCATATTACCCTACTGTTCCCTGCCCCCAACCCCCTGCAGCAGCCATCCTCCAGGCCACTGGGGCTTTTCTAGTTTTTTTCTAATCAGCAAGTGAATAGCATTGTATAGATATAATGACAATATCTCATTAAAAAGTCTTTCATTATATACAAAGTAAGCCTCTAGCCCCATTAATTGCAAAGATATGCCTTTTTCTCTTATATCTCCACAACAGAAGGAGCTAGAGACTTTTTTTAAAAAACCCTGCACGCTGGGAATTCAAACATCATGACACAAAGATTGTTATAATGTTATATCAATATAACAATATACTGTTCCTGATATTTAAAGAAAAGGCCCTCCTGGTGATGGGGAGAGGAAATGGCTGCTGTGAGGATGGGGCAAGGGCAATATCTGCCAAGTGGGTGAAACCAGTAAAATCTGTTTTCACACGCGCACACACCTGCACCAATATATGGCAGCCTTCCAGGCTTTGCTGTTATTTTTCCTGAAATGTCTCATTATAGAAGATTGGAGAAAAGTCAGAGAAAGTCCAGGAGGCACAGAAGTTCACCATGATGCTCTAGGAAAGCAGGAAAACAAACTTCTTCCCAACATCAACCCTGGAGCAAATAACCCATGAGGAAGCAGCCAATGACAAAATGAGATAAATTATTCCCAAATATGAGTTTGACTACATTTTACAGAAGGGAAGAGTGGAAATTTACATGTGGCTACCATTTTCAGTGATAGTCCTGTGATACATAAATTATGTAAATAATTCCATGTTAGAGTTCCTTTGTGTGTAATTTGCTTATTACTTCCCCCATTCTACTCTTAAGCAAGGGATCCAGCTTGTTCTCAGTTTTTCTCCTAGAGTTATAATACAAGTTTTAATACATTTCAAAAATGTATTCTTCCCAATCTTACTTTAAGTTAATTTCCCTGCCCTTATTTAATATAGGAAAATATCACAAGATAAAGTAACACAAACATTTCTGAGATCATGGCACCAAAATTATTATTAACACAAAGTATTAAATATAGGTGGATTTTTTAAAAATGCCAATGGGGGAAAAAATCGTACATTTTGTTAGTTTTGGTGCTGGGTGAAGAGTAGATTAAATTCCACTGCTTTTTGCAGTGTAAAGGAATATGTCAAAAAGGTCTAGTTTACTAAAATTGTGTGTGAGGAACTCCCTTATTCCTGAGTATGTGGGGTTTGGTTTCTTTAACCTTTCACAGGCTGGAGAGGTCTTATTTTCCACTGACACTGTCTGCCAGCCTCTGTTCTCCCAGGAATACACACAGAGATCAAATAAGACAAGACACCTGACACTACAGAATTCCTATTTGTCACTGAAATATATGAATACTATCATTCCTAGTGCTGCTAACAATGCGTAGGAAGATGTGTCTTTTTACACTGGTCAGCTGTCCTGAGCTGAAGCTATGTATCTTCATACATCCTTTGTTTTAGAAAAGTTTCATAAAATTCATGAATGATTGTCATGTACCATAATTTCATAGAATACTGTTCTTTGATAGCAAAAATATTTATAATGCATACTCTAGGTAAGTGTTGGAGAAGATGGAAGTGATACATTAATGCCATTTTGTTTTCTTTTTAAAAAAAATATCCATGGCCTTTCTTTAGTATGTGCGTGTGTCTTTTGACACAAAGCCTGAACTTCTTCTACACCTGATGACGAAGGAATGGCAACTTGAGCTACCTAAGCTTCTCATCTCTGTCCATGGAGGTCTCCAGAATTTTGAACTTCAGCCCAAGCTCAAGCAAGTTTTTGGGAAAGGTCTCATCAAAGCTGCCATGACTACTGGGGCGTGGATATTTACTGGAGGAGTGAACACAGGTAACTGCAACTTGGTGGAAGAGGTCCTAGAACTGTTGTGATACAGAAAGCCTTTCTTTGTTCTAAATTACTTTTTTTTTGGTTGTTCATTGAAATGAACCAAAAAACATGATAATACCAAACTGGCAGCTCAGTTGGAAAAATAAGACAGTTTACATTTCTATTCTAATTCTATCCTGACACACATAATTTCCTGGTGGTCTTCCATCTGGGTACTAACTAGATCCATATCTGTTTCCCTTTATATACATAAAGTTTTCAGTCACCTTTAAGCCATGCTAAATGGATAGAAATGGGTACTAGCTAGGGAAAGCCAGAAAATCACAAAACTGTGTCTGGTTTTACTATAAATGAAGCAAACACCAACGAGCTTTGAATACAGAGAACTAAAACTGGCTGGCTGAAAGAGAGTCAAGATAATATAATAAAATAAAAAAGAGTGCTTCCAATTGCAATTTTAGAAGGGCAATATATAGCTTTAATGCTGTAAGAACATTCCAGCATAACAAAGGTCCTCTAACCATTATCCCAAATGGTCATGGTATCTACAAGAAGAAGGATCACAATAGGGCTTAAGAGATTTCCTGTTTTCCTGTCCCAATTTGCCATTTCTTAGTGCCTGCGTGCTGGGCCATTATGGGGGGGTCTCATGTTTTTTGGTTGAGCAGATTGTCAGACTTGGTGTTTTAGCACAGAATCCCAGAAAAACCAAATACAATAAAAGCAGCAGTGCTACTGCTCCAGTATTATTCTTTTAATTTTTTGCAGAGGTTTGTTTTTGGCCATATGCAAGAGCATAGCAATATGGGAGAATGTGTTCCTGTTTAAATGGCTGTAGTAAACTGTCTCCAAAATATTTTTATTGAGAGTGGGAGATAGAAATGCTTTAAATAAATAAACTACCTACACACATGATATGTGTGTGTGCCTCTTTATTTTCAGGAGTTATTCGACATGTTGGTGATGCACTGAAAGACCATGCCTCCAAATCTAGAGGGAAGATCTGCACAATTGGTATAGCTCCCTGGGGAATCGTAGAAAACCAAGAGGATCTGATTGGCAAAGATGTAAGTCACTGGCTTCTCTGTAGCATAAAGTCTTGCCAACATACTGAATTGTTTGAGTTATTCAAAGTTACTCAGGTAGAAGTCACACTGTGTTTAATTGTCTGCTTATATGGCACCTTTCAAAGTTTACAGAACCCAAGAAGACAGATTTATTTATTTCGAGAATTTTTCCTGCCCCTTGGAACCTACAATCTAAAGATTTTGTCAGAAGGGAATAAAGGGAGGGAAAGGAGGTACATGTACAAGCAAAAGGGGGAAGAATATGTTTCATTCCATTCGTGGCTTTATTTCCATAGGAAAGGGAGGATGCTAAAGACTGTATGGAAAAGGTGGGTATCAAGAGGGATTTGAAAACAGTGACAGAAGAGTTCTGAGAGGCAGTTCCAGGCATAAGGGCATAAGAAAGAAGGGGTGGATATATCTGAAAGAGCAGGAGATCTTTGCATGACTAATACTGTGGTCATAAACAGCGATATAGTCTCTCACTTATTCAGTGGGAGCAGGAGATCTTTGCATGACTAATACTGCTGTCGTAAACGGCGATATAGTCTCTCACTTATTAAGTGGATTTATTTATTTATTCAATTTGTATCCCGCTGTCCCCGCAAACAGGCTTGGAAAGGTTTCTTCTCTTCCTTAGAAGCAAGATGGAAATGTGTCTGTTCCACTAGTGAAAGTGCCTTCTGCCAGTAGAAAATTAGCTTTGGATCCAACCCACTGAGTGTGAGACAACCTGTTGAGTGTGAGACAACCTACTAATTAATAGAAAAGAGCAAGAGTCCAGTAGCACGTTAAAGACTAACGAAATTTGTGCCAGGGTATGAGCTTTCATGAGTCACTGCTCTCAGGTCTGCTCATGGAAGAAGTGAGTAATAACTCACAAAACCTAATGTCCTGTCAGTAGTCTTTAAGATGCTACTGGACTCTTGCTCTGTTCTACTGCTACAGACAGACTAAAATGGCTATCCATCTTGATCTACTTAGTGTGAGACAGTGATGAAACTCAGAATGATCAGACAAGAAATGTGGAGATAAAGGACTGGGTGGAGAACACTGAACAACACAGAGCTGGCTACCATCAGCATGTGTGTTGAATTGAAAGCCATGGGATTTTATAAGGTCTTCCAAGGATAGTAGAAAAAGGAAGAGAATTTGTTGAGTTCAGAATCCTATAAACCGTACATTGTGATGGCTCTCATCAACTATAATTCCCTAGAGAGAAAATAAAACCAGTTTCTTAAAGATAGGATGAGGAGAATGTATGACAGCTTATTGCAAAAACTGCCCTTCCTTCCATAAAGATAAGAGAGTGTAAAGTGCTCCTTGCATACTGATTGGCAAATGAGATTAGAATATCACTACCCTAAGAAATGTCCATCTGAGCAGGTTGCCAAGTCCATAAATGCAGTTCATAAATGCAATGTTGTCCCAAGGATAGTGTTAGTATGTAGGCTCTATAGCAGGAATAGGCTACCTTTTTCAGGACATGCCAAAAAATGCAGTGTCTGCCTGTGAAGCTGTTGGTGTACCAGTAAACAAAATGGGATGGAGGGTATTGTACTTGTAAACAGTCAAGCCACCTCCTCCTCCTGCTGCTGCTGCTGCTGCCAGCATCTCAGAAATTCACCTTAGACTTGGCTGATGGTTGTGTAGGTCTGGGAAGTGATGACAAGCAAAAGCCATGCCTGTTGCCATCTCCTGTACCACAGGCCCCAGGAATCTCCTTCCCTTCCTCTCCCCACACCAGAGACCCTGTGAGGTAGGTGGGGCTAAGAGAGCTCTGAGAGAATTGATATTGAGACATCAGTTCTGAGGGAACTGTGACTGACCCAAAGTTATGCTTGTGGAGGGTGGAGAAGTGGGCAATTGCTTGGGCGGAGATCTGGCCCTGGATGCTAAGCATAATGGCCTGGTGTTCTACTGTCAGCACATATGCCAGGGGTGGCCAAATCCTGATCTGAGGGAATGACTTCCAAGTGGGCATGGTAACCATAACACATGTGTTTGTGTGTGTGACTGTCTTACTGGCATTTCTATTCATTTGCTTCATTTATATCTTGTTTTTCTCCCCAATGAGAACCCATTTTATCCTCACAGCAACCTGTAGACTGAGTGTGTTAGACTGGCTTAAGGCCACCCTGCAAGCTTCCGTAGCAGAGTAGGAATTCAAATCTGGATCTCTTTAACCACTGTATCACACTGATTCCCACTGTCTTGATAAGTTCAATGGCAGCAGGGACCAGGAGCGTGTTTTTAAAAATCACACACAGTGCTCATTGATGAAAACTTTCACTCAGTTATGCTTTCAAACAATATCAATGTGTTTGATTGGCAGATACAATAAAATCACCAAACAATCAATGTCTGTATATCTCTAACTAAAGGACCCTTATATTTCCCTTTACATTTGGATCCCAAAGAAACATTTTGTTCAGGCCTGCTCAGTAAAAACCACTAATTAAATAGAATCTGAAAAGTTTTGCTACTTACTGTCTGATTTTGATAAATGTGTGAGGTACAGGATAGCACTCTTTGCTGTAACTACTGGGAAAATCAGAGCTACGCATGTGCAGAATATTGCTGGGTTTTTTTAGAGATAATCACCTAACTTAAGTGCAATTTAATAAACTTGATATGCATATTTTAGAGATGTAGTCATAATCCGCAAATGTTAATTTGAAATTCAACTGCTCTGGGAATATGTTTTTGGCTACATCCACAAAACCTGTTGTATATACTCATGGAGAATATTTTGTGCTGACTTAGGCTTCTAAGCAAATAAATTGAACTGAACAAAAAGAAATAATCAGTTGTGATAATGATGGCAATGGAGGATGAGAACAGAGTAGAGCCCCTTTAAATTGTTTGTGAGAAGACTCTCAGTGATTTTGGTGCAGATTTTAGGGAGTCAAAAGGAGAAAAAGAGGAAGGGTCAAAACAGTGATGCTAATTAGCACACTCAAAGAGTTTTGTGGCAAAGGATAGAATGGAAATTGTGAAGTAGTTGAAAAAGAACAGTGGGCCAAGGGATGGCTTATTGTGAATGAGAATAAAATGGTACATTTATGATCAGTAGACAAGAGTCAGGAGAAATGATTAGGTTGAATGTGTGCTGGAGTGCAGGGAGAATGATGGGGAAAATAGTCAGAAGTTCAGATCATATCAAGTGTGTGGATGGAGGGGTTAGATAAGGTCAGCTGAGTTGATTTGTACATGAGATCTTATAAGTGATGTCAAGATTAAAAAGAGATATTGATTTTATAAGATACACATAGAGAATGTTCTAGCAGTGCTAGGTACAGTTTTAACTTCATACATATTTATTTAAATATGTAAATTATACAGTCTGAAGGGGTAGCTGAGCTGGGCTGCGGCAAGCAAAACAACATAGAATCTAGTGTCACCATAAAGTCTACCAAATTTATTGTTTCATATGCTTTCATGATCGAAAGTCCACTTTGTCATATGCATGAGGAGATATTGTTGGCAGATACTTATTTTTTCAAAATGTGTATCCCACCTTTTAGACCCAAGACTCTTGGGGCAGCTCACAACATAATAAAATGCAATATAATACACATTAAGACCCCACCAGAACCCACATCAGAAATGATCTAAAACAATGCAAACATATTGAAAGCTATTAAAACTAAAATATCTATAAAAGATAGGATTAGATAGTTATGGTTAGATATTAAACTGGTGTAAATCAATGTTTATCTTCTTTATATTCTGGGTATCTCACTGAACTTTGAAATTTTGATAATTATTTATGGTCCCCTTATCTCAGTAACATAATTAAGTTAGAAACTATTTTCCAAGATTATCAGAGGATAGAAGTTTAGGGGCTTTTTGTAGAGGTTACTTATATAGGATACAAAAGGCCTTATTTCAATTATATTGACTTAGAGACATGGAAATCTAAAAGGTATCACAGGTGACTTAATCTGCTGTATTCTGCTTTATTCTGTTTCCTTATCATATAATGCATATGAGTAAATGTATATGATTCTTTAAATTGAAAGTAAAATACTATACAGAAGAACCAACCAAAGAACAGCTCCCACAAACCATACAAAACATTCAAATATAATGTAAACAAAACAGTACAGCAGGAAACCAGGTCAACATTTGAATTACCTAACCAATCCAACAAAGCAGCAAAACTATAGATAAACTAACAGAACAAAAACCATTATCCAACCATTGAGTTGGGGTACAAACAGAAGAAGGCTGTTACAAAATAGACCTTAGCTGAGCTAGCTAGACAGAGCTCACTTGCAGGAAGGGTGGGATATAAATCAAAATATAAATCAAAATCATAAATTGAAATAATAAATAAAGGTCCCTGCCTGTTTATGGACAAAAAGAAAGCAGCACCAGTGCAGTCTCCCTTGCAGAACAGGCATAGAAGGGGATGGAGTTTCCGCCACCACTGTCCTTTCCATGATGGGTCTCCGGATGCAGGCAGGGAATGGGTAGTTTGGAACACTGTTAAACAGATTCAACAAGAGGTGCTAAATCCTGCATACATATATAAAGCCTGTATAAGTTTCATTTATTGTAACATTTTTCATCCAAGTTCCAATCTGGTCTAACTGAATTTACTTTCCACTATCCTTGGAGGAGCTGGAGGATTACTTTAGGAAAGATTAAATGTTTCATGCACTGAGATAAATTGCAGAAGTACCTTCCTTTGCCCTCATGTTGTAAAAATATATAGATCTACTACCGTTTTATACAGGAACAATTGGGGGTCCATGAGACTCACGGGAGGGGAATCCCATCCTCCCCTTCTTGGCCACCCCATCACCAGGCCTTCTTACCTTTATTCCCCCCACTGACACTGGCAGCAAGCCCCATGCAGCTCCCAGCCTCTACCGCTAGGCTCACCAAGGCTTCTGCTCTCTTGCATTGCCCCCACAATGCTCTTACCTTGTCTATCAGATGTTGGCAGCATCGGCGAGGGTGGAGAAAGTGTCAGTGGGCCCAGCAGTGGA